GTAAACCTACACTCTCGTATAATAGCTTGCAAACCATACGAGAGATGTAAACCACACTAGGCTAACCATGTGTGACAAGCTCGACCTAGCGACCGTTGGCAAGGGGATTCGAACTTGGGTCAATTGACCCAAGCTCTCTTGCTCCAACCGCTAGGCCACCCTTGCGGGTTACTCTGTCCGTTTCTAAATATATGTGGTTTGTCACCTTTACACAAGTCTTGATAAACTCAATAAATATGTACGATTTTAAGAAAATAGATATTGTTAGACCAATATATTTGACAGCAATTAATTGAACGCATTTTAAAATGAATAAAAACTAAAATACATGATTAAATTTCCTCTTTCTCCCTTTTCTGAGTTTCGCCATATTTATTGCAATATTTCGACCATACATTCGCAGAAAGAAATAATAGAAAAAAATAAAACAAAAAATAAATAAAAAGAATCATGTGCCATATTTATGTTAAAGTAGGGCCAAAATATGAGCAGACCCAAAATTGGCAGTTGTGCAGCATTATGGCATTTACATTTGTTTTTCACTGAAAATTCCCAAAATTATTATTTCTTTCATGCAATAAGGTAAAACAATGGTTTTTCAATTGTCATTTTCGGTCTCAATTTGAGGAGACTTCTTTTTTCAAACTTTATTTATTACCTTCCAAATATTGCACAAGTTATTTTACACAATTCTTTTTACAAATTTCATAAATTTGACAAGAACCAATTAGTTATGTACGAAACAATTAAACCAACGAGACTGATTTATAATTTTATTTTTACGGATTTTTTTTTAAAACTATTATAAATCAAGTAATATAATGACTAATTATAAGAAAATAGATTTCATCTTCTGAATTTTGGAATGAGAAATAAAGTACTAGGTGGACAAATTCAAGTAATGGGATCGAAAATAATTCATATAACAACATATAAAAAACATTTTCAACAAAGGCTCTAATTAAACTCCACGAAGTTGAATATTTTAGAAAACATAACAAAATAGATAAAATGTTCGAGGGTCTTTTAAAGGGATGGCTGAAAATATCTAAATATCTTTTTCGAATTCGAAATTACGTTTGAACCTCATAAACTAAATTGGTCCCACAACAGAAGGACAATTTTTTTTAGTGTTTAATTTAAATTTATTGAATTAATTTATAATTTATAATTGTATTTCATCTAATTACATTTAGATGTGCATGGGTTTTATTTTTTAAAATTTTGAATTCAATTTTTGTATACGGGATCGGTAAATAGTAATATAGATATTAATTTCACAACAATCCAATATAGTTATGACTGGCTTTTGAAATCCTACACTGGGTGAAATATACCGGGTAGATCTTTACCATTAATATACACACAAACACACACACACCCACATTGGTGTGTGTAGATCAACGGTGAAAAATCACCCGGAGTAATCTTCACCGGGTGTAGGATAGATAAATCCGTTATGACTTGTGATTCAAAAGAGGGGTTGTTTGATATAACCATTTCAATACTTCTTTTAATAGGGAAACACACAAACTATTTTACGCTATTTAAGAAAAAACCCACTCTTAATTTTAGCTACCTATTTTCTCGATTATGTCCCTCCACTTTACACACTATCCACCCATTCCCGTCCATGACCCATCAGCGTGTCTTTCCTCTTTTTTTTTCTTTTTTTTTAATATTTAATTTTTTATTATTTTATTATTATTTTATTATTTTCGTTTTTTAACTTTTTTTCCTATCAGATATATTAATCGACTATGAAACATATTAAATCGACTATGATGAACTATAGTCGATTAAGGAACCGACTACTAAAAATAACAAATAACAACTACAAAACTACAAACTCAACTATATTTTACAAAAACAAACGATATACAAACTTTATAATTGATTTATACAATTGGAATCAATAAACAAAAAATAAAAATAAAAAAAAAATAAAAAATTGGAGTCAATGAAGCATATTAATCGACTATGATGTGAAGCATAATCGATTAAATTTCTGCTACTAAACATAACAAATCGCAACTGCGAAAAAATGCAAAATCAACTATATATTACAAAAACAAAAAATATACAAATATTATAAATGATTTATACAATTGAAAGCAATAAACAAAAAATCCAAAAAAAAAAGAAAAAAGAAAATTGGAGTCGATGAACCTTAATCGACTACCAGAGTATAGTCGATTAGCTTAATCGACTATGAACATGTACATAGTCGATTAAGGTTTCAGCCTGCGCGAAATTCTCTACACGGGCCTTCATCCATCCAATCCACCAAAAGACCCTAAATTAAATCTGCCTCCCCATCGTCACCACATCGCCGTCACAACACACCATCACCACCTTACTTTGATATTATGACGGTTTTTTTTTTTATTACAAATAAATAAATAAAATCACAACTCGCACCACCAACCAAAGCAGAACCACCACCCATCAAAATCCGATTTCGGCGATTAATCTACAATTTTACCTCTTTTCACCGCCCATGTAGCAATCGTGGCATTCAAACTCAGAATCGCTAACAAAATCATCATCATCTTTATGGCTTTTGTTAAGATCTGCCGACGACGACCCCGACCCCGACGGCGACGGCGACGGAGACGGCACCGACGACAATGGCTTCAACGGAATTAGCATCGGTTTTTTGGTTGGTTCTTCATCTTCCGAACAAGAGAGAATAATCTAAAGAATTGAGAGAGAAAAGTATAATAGAGAGAGAAAAAAACAGAGAATAGACGGGAGAAGAAGAGACAGGAGAGAAGAGAAAATAAGATTAGGGTTTGAAAGAGTATAGTAGACAATTAAGGGTAGTTTTGGAATTATGAAAATATCACTTGGGTGGAATATTAGCTAGGGGTTTTTCTGTAATTATTTTTTGGAGGGGGTGTTTTCTTAACTCATTTTCCTAGATGAGGGGGTTCTTGCTAATTATCCCATCAAAAAAATCGTATCTTTTCAGATTTTTTATTTTCTTCGGTTGACAGGTATATTAAATTTAATATAGTTCAAAAATAAAAAAATAAAAAATCGAAAAAAAAAATTGCAAATACTAAGAAGGGTAAAGAAAGAGCTAGATGAAATAAAGAGTTTAGGAAAGGTTGAATTAGAAAGTAGAAAGCATTGATTTTTGGCATCGCCAAACCAAAACGGTAAAATCCCTGATTTCAGTTACATGTTTCTTTCAGCCCGCCCGACCCATATAACCGAACTTCATTACCCGCAAACCCTAACTTTCGCACGTGCCACTATCTATTTATTAATCTCCCCGCATTTATTTTTCTATCTACCTTTTTTTATTTCTCACATTTTCTTAATATATAGTATTTTGTTTTTTTTTCCCTACATATATATAGATATGGAAGTGCCAAGATGATCAATTACCTTTTTACCCTCTCCAACCAAACAAAATAGCCTAATACCACATAAGATTCATCACCTCGATCTTTTTTGTTCATGATGGTGTCTCAACTCTCGACTAAGGGTGGAAATTAGACAAATCGAATTGGAAGTAGCTCTTTCAGAAAAAAAAAAAAAAAAAAAAAAAATCATTTTTTGTATTAATGAAAAAATAATTTTCAATTCTAAATAATTTTGTTTTTAATTTATCAGAACCGGAGATATTTTGGAAACTCCATTTTAATTTTAATTTTCAAATTACTTAAATCTTGGTCGACGTAATCTGAAAATTTCATTCCAATTTTCAATCCTCACCTCGAGAGCGTCGTCCCTACCCAAATTCTAAGTCGTGTAGTTTAATTTCCATCACACATTATTTCTTGTAAATTATTCATGCATATAAATACAAGAAGTGATTAAATTGAGAGGTAATTAGTTAGATAAATACAACAATATCTAAGAAAAATACGACAAATGAGACTTAAGCGAATAAAACAATTATATTAATTAGACATCATAATTGACAAAAAAATAATGTATTGACCCCATCTGATTAATGTTGCTGTCATGTTTATAAGAATAGCAAGGGCAATAAAGTCACATGAATAAACCCTAGTATCTTATTAAGAGATTGACTTCGTCCTCAAGTCATTGTTTTTTATATTGCTTTTAGTTTACAATAATCATTAATCAAGTGATTATATATAGATCAATGGTTCAGATCACTCGGGAATTATTTATGCCCTAATTAGTTTATTTATCATTAAACCATGGGCATCACAAAATTAAAAGAAGCTAAATCGTTAACTACTATATAATATACAATGTGACAAAACTTTTTCCTCTAAACAAAAGCAAGAATTTTAAAATGTTGAAGCTCTAAATTAAATAACAAAAAGACAAAAGTTAGGAGATGAGTACTAAAATACCAAAAAAACCAATGAGTGTCACAATATGTATCATAGATATGTTTCATGTCAATAAAATCATTCCCACCACCAATAATTCAATCCGCGCTTTCATTTTTTGTATTATAATATTTAAAACATTAAATTGAAAAAATAAAAATAATGCAAATGCGATATATAACTGAAAACAAAATATCTCTGTTTCCTTTCTACATTTAAATCAAGAAATTAAATGTTATTAAAAAAATGTGGGCAAAAATATGATTCGTACTCGAACTATTTGTCCTAATTTTATTTATTTATTTATTTTTAATGTTGTTGTCCTTGTTTAATTAAATATCGAAATTGCACGACTATAAATATATATATGTGGGGGGCAACATGGTAATTTCAGAATGCTGATTAATAATTCAGGTCTGTTATCTTTGTCCTCAGCTGTATCAAATAAACACTAGTCCTTTTAACTTTCTTTGTCAAGTTGTAGAAGAAATTGAAAAATAAATACATAAACTAATAATAAATAAATATATATAAAATAATAGCATAAAATATAGGTAAGTGAAAAAAGGAGAGATGTAGAAGAGATAGCGACCTCTTCTCTCCCATTTCATAATTTGGTGTGCACTCCGTGTGTGTGTGTGTGTATGTGTGTGTGTGTGTGAGAGAGAGAGAGAGAGAGAGAGAGAGAGAGAGAGAGAGAGAGAGAGAGAGAGAGAGAGAGAGAGC